ACATCTTGGCTCAGTTGCCTCTTCTGAGCAATTATTTGCAGTCCTCTCAGGTTCCAAATCTGTATTGCTGAGAGGTTTAGTTGCAAACATCTCTGTTGTTGTGTGCTCTCCTACAACTGGAACTTGAGAGGGTGATTTTGCAAATGGAAATATATGTTCCTTGAATACTACATCTTTGCAAACAAAGAAACAGTTAGTGGATAAATCCATCAGCCTATATCCCTTCTGTGTTTTTGCATATCCTAGAAATATTGCTGCCCTTGCTCTAGGTGAAAACTTGTCCTCTTTGATCATGTTAGTAGCATAGCAGAGACATTCAAACACCCTCAAATGACTCAAACTTGGTGATTTGTTATACAGAGCTTCATATGGAGACTTTCCATTTAACAAAACAGTGGGCAATCTATTTATCACATAGTCTGCTGCTTTAACACACTCGCCCCAGAATCTTGTAGGAACATTAGCTTGAAAATTCATTGCTCTTGCTATGTCTAGGATATGCCTATGTTTTCTCTCCACCACTCCATTTTGTTGTGGAGTGTATACACAACTGCTCTGATGAATTATCCCATAAGAGTCAATCAATTCTGTCATGTGTTTATTAAAGAATTCTGTTCCATTTTCTTTCCTAATTATTTTAACCTTGGACAGAAACTGTGCTTGCAACATAGACAGAAATTTCTTAAGCACCACAATAACATCACTCTTCAATTGAAGCAAATGTATCCAAGTATATCTTGTATTATCATCAACAATAGTCAGAAATAAGTGTTTCCTATCATGAGTTGGGTACTTATATGGTCCCCAAACATCCAAATGTAAGAGAGAAAGAGGCTTCTCACTTGTAGTCAAACTCCTAGGAAACATTAGTATACTTTGCTTAGCAAGAGGACATACAAGTCAGTCAATGTTTATTGTTATGTCTACTACTTTATTATGAAAGAAATCTATATTCTTCATAGTACTAACTGAAGCATGGCCTAATCTTCTGTGCCAAAGTGCTCCATCTTCCTCATCTTTCTTGGTGCTTGTGGATGCAAACTATTTTATTCCTTTGATGAATTTGTCCAAATCTCCCCAGAAACCTTTCTTCAATATGTACAGACCACCTTTTTCTCTACCAATCTCCCTCACCTTGCCGTTGTAAAGGTCCTGGAACAGGCAGAAGTTGGGAAAGAAATTCACTGAACATAACAGATGTCTAGTTAGTTTAGAAATTGACAAAAGGTTGAATTTGAACTCAGGCACAAACAACACATCATCCAATTCCTCCTTATCAAGAATGATTGCTTTACCAATATATGAAACATTAGTTTTTCTCTTGTGGGCAAATGAACCTGTTCATTTCTTTGTGTGTTCACTTTGTCTTTTACTACTAAGGTCTCTAATTCACCAGCGATATGATGTGTAGCTCCAGAGTCAATTATCCATTCTGTACAAGGCAAGTTTGTCATTCAGGATGTAGCCATACCTGCCACGTTGGCCTGACATTCAGGAGTCTCCTTGTTCAGCATGTTTAGGATCTGCCTGTACTGATCTTCAGTGAAGTATGGCCCTGCCTTCAGTGCATCATCTCTGCCTTTTCCTTCATATTCCTGTGTTGGTTTGTTATTTCCAAAGGCTCCAGTTGCTGTGTTTGCTGCATATGTTTTCCCAGTTTTGAAATCATCTGGATATCCAACAAGTTTATAGCAGTTCTCCTTAGAGTGGCCTGGCTTGTTGCAGTAGTCACACTTCATAAATGGCTTTTTTCCTTTGTATCTGTTAGCTTGAATTGTTGGCTATCCTTTGCCTGCTTGCATAGCAATAGGATCTCCTTTATTTCCTACAACCGAGCTAGAATTCTAGCTTTCATTTTCAATTATCAAGGCATAAGCTTGGTTCAGAGTTGGCTCTATAGTCTTCATCAGGATCTGTCTTCTTGCTTGATCATAAGTCTCATTAAGTCCACTCAGAAACTGCATTAACCTTTGCTGTTGGAGCTGCTCAACATATTCCTTCGAATTAGGAATAGGCACCATCGCATCATATTCGGCCCATAGCTCTTTGAGCTTTGTGAAATACGCAGATACAAAATCTGTTCCATGTGAAATAGTGGCTATCTCCCTGTGCAATTGAAAAATCCTCACACGATTCACTTTGTCAAACCTTTCTCTCAGATCTTCCCAAACCAAATGCGCTTCAGATGCATACACAATTCCGCTAAGTAATTTCGGAGATACTGTGTTCATGATCCAGGACAGCACAATTGCATTGCATGTCTCCCAATCTTCATGTAATGCAAGCTCGAATGAGCTCTTTTTGCATGTCCCTAGCACAAACCCTAGCTTCCTCTTAGCTTGCAGTGCAATTCGCATAGATCGACGCCATAAACCATAGTTTTCTGATCCCGTGAGCTTTACAGGATTCAAAATCGAGCTGGGAGTATCCGAAGGATATACGAATAGAGGATGCGTGTGATTGATTTTATCAACTTTATCAGTTGCCATTAACAGTTGTTGGTCGAGCTTCGTGAGGAAGACGATATGAAAAAGAGAAAATTACTGTATATCTAACAGAATTTGCGGAAGTCTAGACCTTACACTGATGTGATACCATGTGAGCTTGATAAATCTGAGTTCACACTTCAGATTTATCAATGTAAGCTCGATTGAAGATCTGCCATAGCTGAGAGTAAATGGAAGAAGGAGACGATCACAAAGAAGAAAATGAAAATGATCCTGTGTATTAGAAAAGGAAGTAATTACAAAATATATACTTCTAACTATAGTTGCAACAAGTAACTATAGTTCTAACCACCTAACCATGGTCACTGGGACCCATCACTAACTACTAACTAACTAACAATATTACCTAACTATTCTTCACAAATAGTATGTAAGTAATATAATCATGCGACTTCAGTTGTTTATAGCCTATCAACTTTATCATAGATTGATTATATGGTTTCTTCAACAGCTAGCAATACGTCAACCAAATAGTAGTATTAATTTAGCAATAGCCCAGTGATTGTAATTGTATATACATAATGTTGTAGTATCTGCTTGGGTCTATGGTTCAGTAATGTAAGAAACATATTTTTTTTAACACAAAAAAAAAGACACATTATACATATCATATTAATTATAAAACACTTGATGCGATTAAAAAAAATTCACTGGCCCAAATGCTTGAGTTGTTTACCATTCTTGGGGTTGTCTGATACTCCCTCTGCCCCAAAATAAAGTTCTAACTCCTATATAAATGCAAGGAGAGCAAAATGTGTTTTTCAATCAGAGATAACACAGCTGGAGAAAAGAGCTAATGAAATCCTAACTTTTTTAATCAATAATGTCATTTTACTCCTCCTGTTTCAGGGGTGTCCAGTGGGCTGGTCTCGGGCCGGTTCGGTTCAACAGAAAAAGGGAGAAATTCAAAAATAGCCAGATTCACCACTGGTCGTTAAAAAATAGCCAAGTTTCAAAAGTCATCGAAATTTAGCCACTTTAAATCTGAGCGAAAACACTGTTCAAAATCCGGAAAAATACGCCCGCAAATTTTACGGGAGTTCCAGCATAAGTATGCTTGAACTCCCGTAAATTTTACGGGAGTTCAAGCACAATTATGCTGGAACTCCCGCAAATTTTACGGGAGTTCCAGCAAGTATAATTGTCCAGTATAATATACTGGAGTTTGGAGCACTGGTGCTCCAGTCTCCCGCAAATTTTACAGGAGTTAGCAAAGTATACCGGTCCAGAATATGCTGGAGTTCGTACACAAATGCACCAGAACTCCCGTATATTATACTGGACCGGTCCCTGTTGCAGCAGAATAGTGGCTATTTTTCATTGACTTGATAAATGCTGGCTATTTTTCATTGACCAGTGTGAAAACTGGCTATACCATAATATTTTTGACCAGAAAAAGGGGGCTCAAGTAGGGGGCATTGGCCGGCCGGGGTCTAGGGGGCTTAGGGTGTGGGACCAAGCCGACCCACATCCTGGTCCTAGTGGGCCGGTTCTATAGTATTTGGTGGGTTTTTTCTTTTTCGTTTAATGTGTATAAAAAAGAGATTTTTATCTAGCTATACTATAGTAAAAATTTATTTACCACATTTATTTAGGTTTCTTATTAATTACTTTGTATATCTATATTTACAAGTTATATACAAAACTATTAAAAAGAAAAAAATTCAAGATCCCTTAATTTTAGCTTGTCAGTTACAACCATTTTCAATATCTCCCCATACATTTAAGATTATGTTCCTTTTTTCTCTCTTTCTTAATAATCACCCAAAATCTCTCTTTTAATTTCTCTCTTTCTTACTAGTCACCCAAAATCTCTATTTCTTATTGATACAATGCAGATGAAATTTGAAATATTGCTATGGAATCAAGTTCTGGGTAAGTTTTGAATCTTGTTTTCTTTTTTCCTATCGGCGGTGGCGGCAGTTAATAATGAATATGTGATAGCATCTTAATGAAATTAAGTCTCTGTTACAGATTATAATCATACAGACCTATTCAGACCCATTAAGTGGTTGTAAATTAAAAAAAAATAAACACACTTAATGACTAAGATTTGAATAATTAAGATTCAGACTTTAAAAACAAACGCACTTAATGTCTGAGATCTGAATGATTAAGATTCAGACCTCCATTAAGTGCAAGGCCTAAGTCTCCACGTTTATTTTTATCATCAACGTTTAGCTCCAAACCTTATAGTATATAAATATCAAGCTCGTTTATTTTTGAAGAGCGCGACCCCTATTTATCTTACCTCTAAGGTTCACAAAACGTTGATTTTTCTGAAAGTTGAATTGAAGAAGAATAGGTAGGAGCAATTGGTGCAAGAGTGTTTGATAACGCTTGGTAATTCTCTTATATAATTTTAAATTATGCTAGCTATACAAGTTGCCAGACTTGGTTTTTTCGTCGCTGCAATTTTTAAGTTGTTATATATTACTAGAAAGTGAAGCAAAAATTACGGGGAATTGATCATTTATACAAAAGAAGTGAATATCAACCAAAAGCATCTTCAATGGAAGTATAATACTAAACTATCAAAAAAAAGAAAAAACATCAAATGTAGCACATGCAAGCAAAAAGAAGCTAAAGAAAAAGATGATTATAAGCTATTAGGAACATTCTGTTTGTATAACCTATCATTCAAATTCTAATGATGTCACTTGCATGTGAAGGAGAGCCACTGAAACGTTACAGGTTTAGATATCTTCACTTCATCTTAGTTGGCAGAACTGCCACAATATTGACCAATGAGATGGGAAGAAACAGAGGGTTCGCAAGACTGAGGCGGGCAACATGTTTGGGGTTTGGTTGACATCTACAGCTGCAAGTTTGGAACATATTTGATTTCCAAGGCCCACACATCACCATTTATTGTTCCTGAAATCATAGAGAAGGGGTTCACACCAACTAACTAATCTCAAGTCTCAACATAAATTAAAATGTCAACAAGGCAACATTAATCCTCAGTATTGTTATGCTGCCTGCCACTTTAACCCAAGGATTTTGATCAATGCTTTAAAACAATATCCTTTACCTTGAGATTCTCAAATGTGATACATGATGAGTTTATATCTTTGCCCCAAATGCATGGTGACAGAAGTATTATTAAGTCTCTTGGTCAAGTGTAATAAAAGATCAAGCATCAAAACATAACCTTGCATATTGAAGGGGCAAGTTAAAGTACTGGCAGATTCTGAAAAATAATAGTGCTAATCTTTGGAATGGGCACTTCCCATGCTCTGTCTCAACCAAAACGCCATGTCCGCAAGAGAACTGAAAAAATACTTACAAATAATATGTTGGGAGCAGCTTTAGAATGTTCGGAAAGGGTAAGAAGAAAGACGAATTACCAGTGGAGGAAAATAATGATCATAGATTCCTCAACAGGTTGTAAAAATATTTCAATAGTTTACACACAAAACCATAAATTGCAACCATTACACAACTCTGAATCCTTAGATTGGCTTGACTCTATACCTTTCAATTTTTGGAGTTTGGTATTTGGAAACAAAAAATATCATCTTCTTGTTCAATGTGCCATGAAGCTTTTCAAGATTTTCCTTCTTCTTTTCATATTTGAAGACAAAAATACAATGTTATTCTTAAAAAAATGGTGAACATGAGTGATTGATTTGATTTTATTAAAGCTTCATCTTTTAGTATGCTCTCTCACATGGAGAAAAATCAGGATTATTTTATTTTGTTGATCTGCAACACTACCAGTAGAGGTAAAGGCAGTAGTTTAATATCTATGGTTAATAATGTAGAAATCTTTTGACCTTGAATTAAGCTTTACCATCCAAATGAACTAAGAAAAAATTATAAGTTATAAAGTTTGCAATAATGCTCCTGCAGGGTTGAAACATCATTCTTATTTCGTGGCGCTGGAACAACTGAATGGAAAACCTTAATGGTAGTACTATTAGAATACTTTGTTGGAATCTTTTCTGAAGAAAATTATCAGAAATGCTTCTTGAAAACAAATTTCTAAGAAACAGTTTATATTTGATGGTTTTTAAAAGATATTGTTAGTTATCACCTCAAAACAACATGCAGGTGATTTGTCTTTGACAGTTTGATTTAATTTCTAAGTAAACTAAATGCAATGTAATTTCCTACAACCATGAAAGTGAAGGTACCTGTGTCGACGGCCATCTGATTACTTGATTCAAAATAATAAACAAGTGCATATCTATCTTCATGGGTTCTCCTGTCCAACAGAGATGAATTCAGAGTTTAATAATGGATGCAAGTAACTAAACCAAAATGCAATATAATTTCTATTTCGTTGCAAAGGCAGTACATAATCATGCATGGAAAAGACATGTTCATGAACTTCAGTTCAACATCATCAGTTGCCCCAAAAGTATACTTCCAAAATAACCTTAAGCCAAATGGGTACTAAAAGTTTGGGGAAACCACAATCAGAAAATCAAGCGACATTATTCCACAATGGGAAAATCATAGGCAAATTTAGATGTGGCCCATAAATGCACAATCAAAAGCAATTAATCTGAATCATATAAGTTTCTAGTATGCCTACGCCAAATTGAAGCATCCTAGTTCAGTTTATATTGCCAGCAAAGAGATTTCTTTATGGAATGCCACAAAAAAACATAAATTAAGATAAATAAAAGGGACATATTTACAACCATGACGCAAAAAATAAAAGTCAAGCTCATTCTTTCTTTTACAATTGCCTTCGCGAATTGATAATGTTGGAAGATTCGATTTTTGAAGGATAGAACTAAAAAGATTAGAAACCTCAGTGGACTGCAAGTCGATACAAAAGCAAAATTAGAAGAAAGATAAGTCAATTAAAAATATTGAATATAGAGGTGAAGTATTTCCATAGTTTGTATCTCATTGTTAAAGTTTGTAGTTTTTACCCAATAACAGCTGCTCAATAAACTAAACAAAAATAGAACACTGAAATTATATTTTTCAAAAAAGGGACCCAAAATTCAAAGGGTGAGAAATAAAAGTGAAATGTACTGAAGGGCGACTTAGAAATTGGAGAATCTGAAATCAACCCTTTCTTTGTCATATAAGCCTCCTTACACGTGACACGTGAATTGATCCTCAGGAGTATAATCTGCATGCACAGAGAATAAAGAATTAGTAGAATTTCCAATTTCAAACCTCTAACTGTAAATGACGAAAGGGAAAACTTAAAGCAAATATCATTTCTGCAAGGAAAAAGAGAAAGAATTGAAATGAAATATAGACTGAAAGGACAAAAATGACCAAATGCTTATGAAGCAATGGAAGGAGAAAGTTAGTGGAGTGGAGTCCAGTTGTTGAAAACCGTAAAAGCACCTGTCACAACAAACAAAAAGGAAAGTAGATCCAATCACCAATGAAATATGGCCAAATTTATAGTACGACTCAGAGAGCTTTCTGTACAGCTTGTAATAGCTGTGTTCCTACAACTTAGCCATTTATATATAGTAGAAATTTCAGCAAGTGTTTGTGCACCACAACCTTTTAGAGTAGGATTTAAGTAGCAACAAATGTGAAAAATGTCGAAGTTGGCCATCTCGTCTCTACCCTTTCGGGATTAGGCGGGATACTCACTGAGTACACGTTGATTACATACTCATACTACACTTCTGTGCATTTTTATTGCACAGGTATATGTTACTTTAGCGGCCTACTGAGCATAGAAGCACGGACGATTCGGGGACTAGGTGAGTTGCAGTATGCAAGGCGGCCCGCAGCTTTTAAAGTTCCTTTCTAGTAAATTGTATTTCCTTTCTGTCCATTGTATTTCGGACGGATGTTGTATTGTATTTTATATCCTTATCAGTAGATGCTCATGCACTTGTGACACCGGGTTCTGGGGATGGTTTTCGAAAGATGTGTACTAATTGTTATTATTTAAATTTGAATTCAAGTATTGATCTTTTATTTATGAAAAATGGAAGGAAAAAACTGAGATTTTCAAAAGTATTAAAAGAGGATTTAATTGATAATTTAGTTAGGCTGTCCTGACAGAGGTGTCCGGCGCCAGCACGACCCTTAGTGGATTTTGGGTCGTGACAATAATACAATTTAAGAATATATATGGACTAGTCATGCACAACTCGGGTGGTAGATTATAAGGTGTAAGAAAGACAGGCCAACATAAATATGGTATCGCAAATACATAAAAAGGCGTGAAGCCATCCGCACACAGACCTAACCGAATGTTCCTTGGTTCACTAGCAAAATCTGGATATGTCCTATCAAAGTGCTTCCAAGCTTCTCCGTCTGAAGGATGGCACATAACACCAGGTGGTCTTCTATTTTAAAAATGCCATCTCATATGAGGAGCAGAACTCACGATGCATATAACCTCTTTAACCTAGGTATAAGAGGTAAATAATGCATTGCCTTGATAGCGACCATATTCCCGCTGGAAAGCCTCTTGAAACGAGGCTTTTCGCAAAAATTACAACTATCTAAAGTTGCATCATCTTTATAATATAACATGCAACCATCTTCACAACAATCAATTCTCATTGACGAAAGTCCTAACTTAGAAACCAATCTCTTTGCCTTATAGAAATCACTAGGTGAGTTGATATTAGGGTCAACTAGTTCACTCATAAGGTCAATAAAAGAGTCCATGGCTGCTTGAGAAATATTCCAATCAGATTTTATACTTAGTAATCTAACTGCAACAGACAGTTCTGAGTGCAGATTTCCTTCACGTAGTGGATGACTAGCTTCCTCTAACTGTTCATAAAAACGTTTTGCATCATCATTAGGTGTTTGTTCAACATTTTCATTGGGCTCACCCCCGAAGTGCATCCCAAAAGCATCTGCAACCATATCCTGAATTCTATAATAAAGATTTGTATTCTCCACCGACCTATTACTTTCACCAACAACCATATCATGAAATATTCCACGGCTACCATCGATCTCTCCATGATTAGTCCACGCAAAGTAATTCTCTATAAACTCCTTCCGATAAAGATGAAGCTTAATTGTTACTCGTATTTTCGAGGTAAACACTACGGTTGACTACATTACAAATGATTTAATTGGTGATTAGATACTTGATTATATGAAAGGCATACCATGCTCAAGACCAGATCAGATATAGTCATATCACAACTTCTTTCCAGGGAGATTTATTAGTTCACGGCCAGTCATGTAAAAAACAATAGTTTAATGCATTATTTTGTGAAATATGAGTTTGATTTGCGCTTAAACTCTTAGTTACTAAAGTATTTTTTTTCTATTACTTGTAAGAAAAAAAGAAAGGGATTCAGTTCCTTTTCTTTTTAGTTTGAAAAGATAGCAATTACAGTATAAGTTTTCTCAAGAAATACAGGTACAGTAATGCTTTATACACTGTAAATGTCTAAATGATATAAATAGACTACAAACAAGAAAAGGTGAAAATTAATTTTAAAAAAAAAAAAGAAGAAGAAGAAACAACTGCCAAATAAGACAAGGACAGAAGATTTGACAGTAGTTGTATTTCCTATCTTTCAGACGAGCTGCGTCCAATCCTGTACGGAGTCTGTTAACGCTCTCCCACTAACCGTATTTCAGCATTCCGCCTTCAACGTCCAATTACTTAGCAGTATTCCGTGTCCAAACTTATGCATTTTTTTTTATCTGTTTCAAAAAAAAAAACTGTTTTTATATTTAAAATAAGTTAAGTTTATATTTTTAATTTCATTTTTAATCAGATTATTTATAGTTATACTAATATTTATGACTTGTTTAAATAATAAATTTTACAAGTCTTTCATTTTTTCATAAATTGCATATCCAGTCAAACAACAATACGGTAAAATAAGAGAATGTTAGTTTTAGGGTGTGCATTATGTGAATTAAAACAAAACACCAAACGAACCACTTTTTTTATTTTGTGGTTTAGTTAGTATGTTCTGTATGTATATGTACACAGAGACGGATTCAGAATTTTTACACAACGGGGGCACATTATTCTGCTCAAGTAGTGCCCTCTAAAGGTTTTTAGTGTTCAGGATGCCAACTGCTTTAAAGTAATCATTTTCAAAGTATATACGTATATATATACATGATTTCATCCGAAGTTTACGGGTTCGGTGACCCCTCACCCATGCACATGGGTCCGCATCTGTATGTACACATATTAATTTATGTAAAATACATTTAATTTTGTTTTGATTATAGTATGTAGTACTACTATCTAATCAACGATGTCTAATTTTTTCAATCTTGTGAATTGAATTTACCAAAAACTATTGAAGAGATTTGAGATATTACTTCTCATTCTTTATAAAGTGTGTCAATCTAATGGTGTTTTTCCTCTATTTATAGGGACATAAATTCCCCAAGCGGGAAACCCAAGAGTCGCCAATCGAAACTGATAAGGGCATGAAACGGTTCAATCCCCAAGAAACGTGTGTCATAATGGTAGTAGCCACGAACGACGTTTCAAATCGAACAACGCTTCGATTCTGAACGGTCACGATGGTCCAAATGCATCGTTACAACGCCGTCCCATTGTCTCGATCTAAAAACTACACCCGAGGCACGAACAGTCAGATTTCTCCTAAGTGTTCAAAATCATAATCCGCCCGCCGGGCCCACCAATAGACGACCCCGACGGGCGAAGGGACTAACTGTATAGGTCAAAGTAGCCGACTCAGCTGGGATCCCGCCTAAGTGGCGGGATAGCGAGAGACAGCACGACCTACTTCGGTCTAAGCACCCACAATGTACATTAAGTTAAAAACAATATTCAAGTAACGACAAAAAGGTCACGGCGTGAAGGTACATCGACCAACGAAGATAGCAAGGGACCCCAGAACTATATATAGGGAGGGATTCTCAAAGAAAAAGGGGGGCTTTTTGGTTTTCCTCTCTCTATTCTCTCCTTCTATTTTCTTACAAATAAGGATGCAAAATGGATCATCTTCTCCGTCTCGTGAAAGATGAAATGACAAATATCAATAAAGATTGTTCGCTCTTATTTTGTTCTACTCATTATTTTCTGATTCATTTTTTGATCTGGGGTTTATTATGTTTGACTAAGATTGACCTCCTTATTATCATTAATTATTTAAATCGAAAAGGTTTTGACATCTTTTGGTCAAGCAGTTACATCTAAGCATTGATAGTATGTCGTTGATGTACGAAATTTATTAAGTAACTGATATATATTATTTAAATGTATAAATCTAAAAACTTTATTACAATTGATTGGTGCATACGCAGTTTTCTTTTCCAAACATTGGACATATAATGTACATGTTGTATATATTTTGATTATAAGGGTATCGTTTAATTACTGAATTGCAAATTAAAGTTTCTTTATTTATTTGTTTGCCGAAAAAAATACATACAAAACCATTGAATTACATGTTTCAAGTGCGGAGAGGAGATCCGGTCATGTTACATTTATGTTAAAAATCTTCTATTATAAGCTTAATTTATTCTTTTTTTTAGTCAATATAATGATATTGAAAATCAGATTAATTCATGGCCACTCATATTAAAAAAAACAATAGTGCATTATTTTTATGAGTTTGATTTACGCTTAAACTTTATTTTGGTTTTTCTATTACTTGTAAGAAAAAAAGAAAGGGATTCAGTTCCTTTTCATTTTAGTTTGAAAAGATAACAATTATAGTAAAAGTTTTCTCAAGAAATACAAATACAGTAATGCTTTATGCACTATAAAGGTCTAAATGATATAAATAGACTACAAACAAGAACAAATGAAAAGTATTGAAAAAAAAAAAGAAAAGAAAAGAAAGAAACAACTGCCAAATAAGACAAGACTGGAATTTGCAGTAGCTATATTTCAGAAGAGCTGCCAATTTCGTACGACGTAAGTTGACGCTCTCCCACTAAAATGTACCTTCACCATATTTAGCAGCCTTTTTGCAGTTCCTCTTTGGAATTCTGTGTCCAAACTTATACATTTTTTTTCTGTTTCAAACAAAACAAATTCGATTTTATATTTAAAAATAAGATAACTTTTCATTTCTTAATTTATTTTAAATGAGATTATATTATTTACATTCATACAAATATTTTTGACTTGTTTTGAACAATAAATTTCAAAAGTCTTTTATTTTTTTTTAAATTTCATACCCAATCAAACGACATCACGTAAAATAAGAAAATATGGGCTCGTTTGGTTGGTGAGATAAGAATAATAATTATGGGATAAAATTAGGGGTGTGCATTCGAATCGGTTTATCGATAAATCGAATCGATTATTTGTTATCGGTTTATCGATATCTGTT